ATAAGTTCGGTTTTCACACAATAATGCTAAGATTATTATTATTTTATTTGCTTAGAAAAGGTTGCTTATGAATCAATTATATTGTTAAAGAGGTTTTTAGTTATAATGTTGTTTAAACATTGCTTTCTGTGGCTTTCCAACTACGAAAAGGAAATCAAATTATTATGGATACTTCATAGAATTTAACTCTTTCAAACGAAGAAAGTAAATAAACAAAAAGTTGCGAAAAAAAATTGTATTTCATATGATATATGAATTATCAAAAGACAAGTAAGTATTAGGAAACCTAGCGAACTAACCAATAACCACCTCCATCCTCAAACTCAAACAAACACATTAAATTCTCTACCTAGCTGTGGGAATTTAAATTCATTTAGCAGAGGAAAGCAAAGCAGATGCTGAATAATTAGTGACCATGACTGACACTTCCGGAAGCATCGCCGTTTGCATTCACAATTCGGTCAAACGATATACAAATTATTAATTAAAACAAATCTGCACCGACCCCCAGGGCCCACCACGCAGAAAATAAATTCAATTATCCCAGCGGCGAAATGCACAGCCAAATAATTGAATCGCTCAGCAATCGGAAAGCTCTTCAAATTGGCCAATGAAAAGCAAACAACAGCCATCAAATATTCAAGAAAAAACAAAAAGGAATCCCGTGGAATCGGAGCTTAAGAATTTCTTTGCAAAACACACAACCTGAATTCCTGTTGGTGGTTTCTACGGGATTCGAATCGATTTGCTTTCATTCCGTTTTCGGTTCAGTCCGGTTTAAGTTCAGTTTTCAGTTTTCATTTTTTCAGTTTTCATTTTTCAATTCAATTAAGCGTCGGCGGGCGGAGTTCAGCACACATTGCTGAACCTGGCGTCTGGGACCTTTTCCAGTTCTTTATTTTCTGCGTTCTTTTTTTTGTCTGCTCTGCCTGCGCGTAATTCACTTTATTCAAATATGTATAATAAAATAAACGCCTGTATGTAAAGCACAATGGGCGAAAGAAAAAAAAAAGCAAACTACGCGGCCCATTGTCAAATCGAGTTATTCTGATGCACAGGGAAAAATAATGCCAACGAATTCAAGTCCTTTTTACGATCAAGATATAGTAATAAGACCAGATCTTTTTAAGATTTATATATAAATTAAACATGAATAAGCAATGCTATCAAAGATATCTCGTTTATGAAAACTCTATATATACATTTAATATGTTGCACTAAAGATCACTTTAATTTAATTACTTTTTTCAGCGTGTTCTTTACTGGTTTTGCCTTCAGTCTGGTCGCAGATTCAGATACAAAAGCCTGGGGCCGGATGTTTTCGAGTAAGTCCCCAACAACTATGCCTTTTATGCGAATTGAACTTATCTCAATGAAGAATGACAACGCGGCCAGGGATGAGAACGTCGTCTCTGGGGGCATAACTGGTGTTTAAGTATGGAAATTGTCGCATCGGATAAATGGCCACAATGCACTCTGCTCGCAGACTAAGGTTGTTATCAGACCCCCCCAAAGTGCCAGCCACTCGAAAGGCCAATGTAATCTTAAATAGACTCACAGGGGATTTATAATCAGCTTGCACTCAGTCAATTGGGAATAACAAGGGCTAAGAGTCCAATAAACTAATTGTAATTCTTCAAACTAATCCCCAAGCTGGCTCTTGATTAACACCTAATATTCATGGACCTAATTTAAAATGCAGGTAAGTAATTTGTTCTTTATAAATAAAAACAGATATTGAGTTGACAAAATTGAGTTTAATTCCATACAAATTGATAAGCTTGAACTTACAGCAGTTCCTGACCAGGAAAGAAAAACTGATAACCAGATCGGCTTATTGATTTACAGATTATCCGGCATGGATAACGTTTACAACACGGCAATACGATGTCGGCCGAAATCAAGGTTACTTAATCAATGAGGGAAGTGTGGAAATATTTACCCGGCGGCCAGTTATTAACTTATATTCAGATATCGGTCTGAACACCGCTCTACGGACATCTGTTAAATATATTTTATTTATATTTTTTTGCCGTGCCGTTGCTGTTGTTGTCAGCAAACGAGATCGGGCTCAATGAAATTACTTGCACAAATTAATGCCGTACAATTACCAAACGAACGAACAAGCGAACAAGCGACAAAGTCATATCCAAAGTCGGGCACAAATTGATTGTTTGGTATCTCTGGCTATATGCCTTGCCATGTATATATCTGCAGTCTATATAGGATTTATATACGGAACAGTGCGCTCATATCTCGCCAATTGCCTTTCATGTGCAGCGCATTTTGTATTTAATTTTATTTTAGTCTCGCTTTTTATGCTCTGCAGTGTAGGAAATCCATCTGGTGGGCGTATTTTTGTTTCGCTTTTCTGTTCTTTCATTAACACAGCCGCGGCCAGTACTTGATTTAATAAATTTGATTAGGATTTATGAGCGTGTGGGCTTTCATTATTTTTGCGAACCTCTCATAAAAACGGGCAGAGAGACGTGTGAAGTTTCCCTGGTATCTACATCAGGTGATCGTATCCAATAATGGATATCACACGATTAAAAGATATAGAAAACAATCTACCGATCACGATCAAAATGACAGCTCAAGAACATATGTATATCTTATCAGTTTTTGTCAATAATCTTTGATCTTAGATGTGTGACAAATAATAATATCTGGTTGCAATGAAGTAATTAGAGTTTGCTTAATGAAGTTTAAATAAACAAAACCGTTTTCTGTAGGGAAAACAATGAGAAACTTTGAAATTGGATATTTCCTCCAAGGAAAACTGGGTCTGGAAGGTTTTTAATAGTATATTGCACCTACCTTCTAAGCATAAAAGAATTATAATCGTATTTTGATTATAAATTTGTTCAATTTATAAAAATATTTATATATTTATTTGCCCCACTAATAATCCTAACCTAACCTAACACAATCGTCCTCTAAAGCGGACAAATTTCAACATTTTTTGGTTTGCCCAAAAACGCAAGCAAAAACAATTAATTTTCTGGTAATTTAACATAAGCCCGGTCCCGTGACAACCCCAGCCAGATTTACGGCCAACGCTTTTGGGGTTTTTGTGCAACATTCTCTTGGCCACAAAAATAAATCCAGAGCGCAGAGGTGAAGCCAAGCGATTTTCAAGGGGCGAGTTGTTTGAAAAAAAAGAACAATTTATCGATTTTCTGCCCACCTTAAATGCGTTGCCAAGGGTAAACGCAATGGGTTAGTCGGTTACTCTCGATAAAGTTCAGACCCTTTGCCAGAGTTCAATGAACCGAGTGACGGACAGTATTGTGGATAGTGGAACTTATGGACAGAAACTTGTCTGCTGCACTTCGACAATAATCGAAGTGAATCACCAAATAAATCACGTTGTCGTCGCCTAGGCACGTACACATATCGTTGAATATTGCGATATGGATGGATGCACTCAAAAAAAAATGTTTATATTTATTAAACTCTGTTATAAAGAGCTATAAAAGATGAAAAAGTATATAAGTAAAATATATTCTAAGCTAAATAATCTCCCTAATCTAATTTGTATCATTAAAATTATTAGGAAATATACATTTCTTTTATTAGTTAGTAACTTTTCTTAAAAGAACATATTTCTTTCAGTGCGGATTGGATGGATATATGGATAGATAAATGGATGGATGTCAGACTCAGTGCAAAGCGACGTTGACTTATTGAAATCGATTGATTCTGATTCCAGTCGGTCAGCTTTGGTTTTACTCTTTTTTTCTGGCTAACTCGCTTGCCGGATCTGTAAATTGCACGACTGCTTTTTTATGATTTTGTAAAGCAAATTTGAAAAGTCGTTTTGTATCGGTAAGCTCACGTGAGCGAACGATTCGATGGCACTGGCTGACAGACAGTTTACCCAAATACAATTTGTCCATTGCCAGTCAAATGTATTTAGATAAATAATCAATTTTCCAGTTATCCTACTAATATTTCGCTATTTTTCCAATTTAATTGGTTCGTTTTTGGGCCAATCTACGCGTCTTAGATACGATAAGCCGTGAACAAATAATTGAATTTTGCTGGACTGCATTTTCTTTTTGGGTAAAACTCAACGAGCAAGGCTATATAGTTGTAGATTAGGCAACTTATATGACCTAGTACGAAATATTTATCGCCTAAAAAAATGTTTGAAGTGCAAAAAAAGTTATAATTAATTAATACAATTTCTAACTTATATTTTCCAACAATAAAATGCCAAACCCTAACAGAATTTTATATAATCTGATGAGTCACAGGAAGTAATAATAAATATTTATCTAAATTTGTGTTCGGGGAAATACAGTCTTCAAAATAACCCAAAAATACTGCTTGAAATATTATAAATATTAATGTACTAAATGATAGCTTTAGAACTAACAACATTATTTATCTACCAACAATAATCCCCTAAAAACTTCTTCTCTTACAGCATACATTTAAGGTCTAAATAAATTACTTTTACAATTTTGTTTAACTCTTTTTTAGCCACTAACAACCTGGAAAAAAATGGTTTGCTGCCGTCATAAATTGTGCAAGGTTGAACCAAAAAGAACGTCTATCTAATCAGTTACGTATAGAAAGAGCACATGAAATCCAAAAAGAGACGGAATTTTAGGGCTTATAAAATTTAGTGGGATTTCATGAAAATGGAAATTTGAATAAAATTTATGATCACAATGAATCACACAAAGTACTCATTTTATGATTGAGACTTTAGGTTCATGAATTGCTTAAATGTTATCAGAAGAAATGAATCATACGGAAAAAAAGAAAATAAAATTTGAGATTCCTATAAGGAAAGAGAGATAGATAGAAACAAATGGAAGAGGGAGAGTGAGAGAATGTTTTTACCTGTCAATTTTTGCTGTTGTTGTTCTTGTTTTTATTGCCCTCCCTTCGTTGATTTTTACTTTTTTTTCTGTGTTCTTGTTCCGTTTTATCTTTTTTTCTGATTTGCTGCACTTGTTCTTCTTCTTCGTCACCTCTTGTTGTTGTTTCTTATGCACTCGTTTTTGTTTTGCTTGCCTCGTTCGTTTTATCGTGTTGTCACGTTTTCACTTTCACAGGTAAATTCTAAAAGAGCAGGATATATGTATATTGCTTTTTTTACCCAATTTATACTTCTGCCCGAAGGGGGCGTGGCGCGGGGAGGCGATAAGGCTCTTTGGCCTTTACACACACGCACGCACACTGAGAGAGAGCGAGAAGGAGAACAATTACCCTCCAGCGAATCGTTATATGTAAGTATTTATTGTAATTTCGGAATATCGTATATTTTTTATACTTATAGCGGTTTCATTTCTTACGGCCTACATCCATTTTTTTGTTTATATATCTTATTTTTTAATTTATTTCAACGAGCACCGAAAGCACAAGCAGCGCGGTCGAAAAATTATCGTGCAATAACAAAGAGCGCCTTTGGCGGGTTGCTTAAATAGATTTTCGTTCACTGGGTCTTCGAACCTCTCTCTTTCTCGTATCTCGCTCTCTAAGGTTTGACGAACAGTGGGATGAAACCGTTTTGTGTGAATGTAATTTTGTTTCAAAGATGCTCGTTAATTTAAGGTAATTCAGTAGATTAAATAAATAACAAAAAAAAATGTATCCTTAATAATTTTATATTACCTATTAGTAAGTTTATTTGTGTTTTTAATTTTCGAAAGTCGTAAATACTATTTACGAAAGCAGTATCGAAAAGAGGTATATGTTTATTTACATTTAAAAACGTATAAATTTAACAAACAAAATACAAATTTTATATTTGCCCACTGTTCAACGTCTTAGGTTCGATATCAAACCAGAGCGCTCTAGGGAAGTTTGAGAGAGGCAAATTGAGCCATATCGAAATATATTTCTAAATTTGTTTTTAAAATATCAAACTTCTGCAAAGCTTTACAATTAAAAAGCTTGGTATTTTCATAAAAACACAAACACATTTTTCGCGGTGGCGATAAGTAGAGCGCCTAATACCGTTATAAAAATGGGTGAGTAGGAGAATTGGGGACTGGGAGAGAGAGCAGCAAGTGCGCAAGTGTGTGTGGGGAAAAGGTGTCCCCTCTCACAGTGCAGATTAGTAAAATAGTTACACTTTGGGCTGGTGGTTTTCAAAATTCTAGAACTTTCCTCACTGAATCATATAAATAAATAACATTTAATAGCCAATATCCAAAAGTTTAAGGCTTTGCACAAATAAGATTTGCATTATTTATGTATATATTATAGAAGCCTTGGCCATATTTTTTTTAATATATACAGTTCAGTGAGAAAAAGGAGGGAATTGTTCTAACTGCCTTTCTTCTTTTTATTTATTTACACTCTTTCTTCAATACCATTGTATTGGTGTGATAATGAAAAATACGAATGCTAATTCTGCCGGCTAATTTATGTTAAATTGCCTGTTAATGACTATAAATTCAAAAGCAAAACCAACACTCATTTGAAGCGATTCTCTTCAAAACTTGAAGTTGTTTAACTTAATCAAAAAATACTGCAAAAAAATTGCAGAACATTTCACACGTGGTTCTTTTTGTATTGCAACTTCACGCAACAGAAATTCCCACACACACATTCGCACTCACAAAATAAACGGAACACGTCGCATAGCGCAACAACAACTCTTTCTCTCTTTCCTATTCACCCAGTTGGGCTCTCTCTCACTCCAATTGTGTTTGTGTGCGTTCAAAAAAGTAAAAAAAAAATGTTGTTAATTTTAGTACCTTGCTTAGCACTTTAGTTAAATGCGTAAAGTGGGGACACAAATATCGATTTATTTAATTTAAACTATTTAATTTTTCTCGCTTTTAAATCTGGTAAACAGAAATATTTATTTTGGCCCATTAGATTAGGATTTTGGTTTGCCATGTGTGCGTGTATGTGTGTGTGGGACGAGCCTTCTAATGATTCAAAGAAAAAGAAGAAGAGCACGATTCGATGGCCTATTTATTATCACAGCTTCCGTTATCGAACATTTATGTTTTCCACTGTTATTAACCTTTACACTCGTAGTTCCGCTTCTATTGATAATTTCGCAATATTGTTATTTACTTTTCGAGCGTTTGGATGTGCACTTTTTTTTGCCGCGGGTTTAAGAAGAAGCACGCCGTAGTGTTTAATAGTGCTACATAATTTAGAGATGGGTATGGTCCAACTCATGATATCGATAGGTCGATACATGTGTATTTGATAATTTTCCACATATTGGCGGGAATTTTAAATATAAGGCCATTTTGTAGAAACAGATTTTGTTAAGAAAATTAAATTGTATTTGTTCGTTTGAGTTTACAACTATATCTAGTCTTAATCTCTGAGTTTTTAGTATTACAGTTTTTAAATGTTTATCTCTGTTTAAATGAGGTCTTTCAAATAATCTCAGCGACAATCTCTATTGGTCGCTCAATAGCATGTTGCACATTTCGTTGTTCTTCTGATTGAGGGCAAAAGTGCAGCCAGCAGTTGTGTGGGACAGAGTAGATCTTACATGTTTGGCATAAGGACGATCCACAGATTGCAGGAAAACTGAACGAACGTTGGTTTGCCTGGGCAAAAAAGTATAAATATAAAACATTGTTTATAAAAATAGTTTGTAGCGAAACTCACTTCAATATCTGCTCAGGTCGCTGAAGCTGCATGCATAGTTTAATTCCACTGTAAAAGTCCAAATCAGCGTTCAGACTCAATTTCGGTTCGTGGGTAAGGCTGAAATCTTGCACTAATTTCGCATAGGTAAAACCAACAGCCAAGTGACCCAGGACAGCGCTGCCAGTGCTGAAATAGCGATACATAAAATAAATAAACTAATTGAATAATTTTATACTATTTCACTTACTTTTGCTGGATCTCCGTCTGGGCATTTCGGTTCCACAGGCTGAATCCCACCTTGCCGTTAAGATCAACACTCCTCGCACCCAACACCTGCCAATGTAGAGTGGCCCCCGATGCTAGAATAATGTAGTGCTCGTTGTCCTGAGCCAAGGTAGTCGCCTGATAAGCGGGCGTTGAGTCTGAGGCAGTTCCACCCCACACATGACCCATTAACTCCGTCTGACCACTGAAAAAGATCAGGGGTCGCAGTTGGGCGCCCTGAACACTGATCTCCATGCCTGCAGTGACCGTCTCCTCGCTCTCCAATTCATCATCTGCCGGAATGTTGTCGTTTCCATCGCCGGAGTCACCATCACCCACCAGCGAACCCAGTCCCGCAGTGTAGATGCCCAATTTAAAATTGCTAACTTGGGAGCGTCCTGCGTGGAGCAGGAATTCCACAGAACCACGCTTGAGTATTCCCTGATAAACTTCCTGCGTACTTACTAGAGATTCGTTAAAGGCAGGCGCCAAAGAAAGTTGACGTGAAAGGACAGTCGTGAGACCTGGAAGTCATTGGGTTAACATGAGATAAAATTGTAACTTTCGTATAAAGAATTCTTACCCTTTTGTCCCAGGACATTGTAGTTGTTAACCTGCTTCCTCTTAGCCAGCTCAGTTTCAAATAAGGTCCTGAATCGGCGACACTTCTCAGACAGCATTCGTAGCTTCTGGAGCACGTAGGTTTTAATCTCAAACTGGCGATCATTGGAGGCCAGGTAATCTAAAAGGTAACCCAACTGCTCTGCACTTGGCCTGAGCGATAGGATAATATCCAAGGCCAAAGTGCGAACAGGAGCTATCAAAGCGCTGCTTTCGCTGATAGAATATACTTTCAAACTGCTTACGATGCGAGGGAGTAAAACTTCCAGGGGGAAAGGCCTTAAGGGCCTGCAAAGCCACCACCGACAAATTGGGCTTATCTCCATTTTGAGCCTGTTCCAGCAGGGGTGTAATGGTGGAGGTGTCCTGGAGATTCTGCAGAGCCCTGATGTACAAAGTGGGTTTCTTGGAGGCGATACCTTTTAGGAAATAAGATCGCACTTTCTGCAACAAAAGATCATCAGCATCGAATCCACTTTGGCGGGTCAAGGTGGCAAGTGTTTGGATAATGGTTTCCTTAAGCTTTAACTGTTTTTTGATTGATTGTAAATCCAGAAATCCCCGCAAGTGTTCGACTATTTTCCTATCTGGATGCGTGGCCACCGCCAGGGATTGCAAGTATTTTTCTAGAAGATCCAACTCTTCGTTTGTAAGTCCTTCGTCTTTGTATAGGAACCCAAAGGTAGCATTGTGTGCATCGAAGGTTTGAACAGCACCCAAGAGATCAACCAACTGGGGCAATAGTTCCGAATGCTCCTTGAGTATATCTTCGAATTGATCTTGCCTGGTGACACGAGCCAAGGGGATAAGTTTGACATAAGCCAGAGCCAGAGAGGATTTGCCCACATCCGCAGATTGTAGGGCTTCCACGGAAGCCTTAAGTTGTTCCTCAAGCTGGAAATATATAGAGATTAATTTTTATATTCTATAATTCTAATCATTTGCTTACAGTTTGCTCTTTAATCTCGCTGATCATACCATCCACATCGGATTCTAGCCTGAAGACGCGATACCATTCCAGCAGGCTCTCGATGGCCTCCTCCAAACTGCCCACATCAAGCTGCTTCACTTCCTCCGATCCTTGGGATATATGTTGCAGGACTAGAGTACTTTTCACCAAGCTTCCCACATCTGGTTTTGCTGCTAAGTTCAGGAGGTGATCCTCCAGGGACTCTGCCTTTAGGAGATTACCCTCCGAGGATAGTTCGTAGGAGATCGTTTCCTGGGCTTCCTGCTTAATCCCCAGAGCTTCTTCAGGATGATAGTTAACCCTTAGATCCCACAAAGAGCAGTCTCTTTTAATTTTTTCTACTTTTGTTGAGGATTTCACATTATAGGATACTCGACACACGCCAGAAACATCTAGTTCCTCCTCTTGGGAACCATCCAATCGCAACTGCAATAAGGAAGCAATTCCGCGCTTCAAATTTAACACGGATTGATCTCTGCCAGAGTGGGCGATGACCTTTTCAGGTTGTCCCTTAACTAGACCAATATAAAAAGGTCTATCCGGTATGTTGGTAATAGAACGGACCTTTCCAGAGGCGTCAACTTGGCTGTTGCTGATAAAAACTTCCAGTAACTGATCTTCATCTTGACTCCAAACCGAATTGATCTTCAGATCGGTTTGGAATTTATAACTCGTCTCCTTGGCGCTTGAATCTCTTCCTAGTTCCTCGAGTGTCACTTGGTTCTGCAGCTTGTAGATCTGCTGGCTGTTTGGAGGAATCAAAGACGTTCTTCCCTGATCTATAAAAATGTGCAGAGAAGAAAATGAAAGAATGGAACACGTCATTAGTCAATCGAATTGTTATAACTTTCCCCCAGTACCAGAGCCCCATGCTGATATTTCTGTTCGTGTATTGAGCCTGGGTCGAGGTTATCAACAAGTGGCCCTGCACAGTGGGCCTCTACTATCTCTTATAGCAAAGCAATGTATGTAAGAATAAAGTAATCTGAAAGAAGGATGGGGTGATAGATAGCAAAGGTCGATAAGCATAGCTATTTTCGGGAGTTTCGGTGTTGGTGATGTGATAAATATTTTATTTTAGTTTTTACAACAGAAAAAATAGGATATTTTGAATACTGAGTATATTATTTAATATCAGGAATCAGAAAGATATAATTTAAGATATTTGCTTATAGAAGCTTCATTTTATCTTAACTTAATTGACCTTCAAAGCCTGAACACCTTTCCCACCTTTTCGTTCCACTGTCTTCAGTCAGCTGTTTCAACTAGAAAGTGTGTCGGATAAAAGTTCTCTTCTGCTTTTTTGTTTGTGTGAGAGAGTGGGGGAGCGGCAATGGCAATGTTGTTGTTTATCATTTGTTTGTATGGGTAAAAACTAAGCGCAACAACAAAGAGTTCGTTCAACTTAATTTTTAACTTTCTACGTGCCTTGCATCCGCCACAAACCAATTTACCCAATTAAACATTAAATATTGGCATTATAACTCACCAATAAATCCGAATATAAAAGCAAGAAGAAGCAGAGACTTCACATAGCTTTTTTGTAGGCTCTCCATGTTTTAAGATTTAATTTTGTTCGTACTTATTTCATAAATTCACTGAAGTATTTAAATTAATTCATTGATAAGCCTGTTGTCAGGCCGGCGGATAATTGACTTTTGAACGGAATAAAACTAAAAGCATCCGACTCAAGCTGAGAATCAAGAAGAAAGAACTCTGTGTGCCCGGCATTATCTCTCTCAGATTTGTGGTGAGTATAAGCAGCTGAATTGAGGTGAACATAAACAGCTGATCGAACAAGCAGATGGCGACACTGTTACGGTGAACAGTGATAAAATTTGAATTTAATATTTTTTATATATATCATTTTTAAGTATTTAATTAAATTAAGTCCCGTGACAATTTAAACTCATCCCATTTATCCTTAATAAAATATACGTTTTTATATAAATTTTTTTTGATATATTGATATTAGTTGTTTAAATTCAGTTGTCAAACTAACAAATAAATTCACGACGGTTGCTACACTCGTCAGCATACATTAAGCCACGATTTGTAGCCACGCAGTTTTTTATGCCATTCCGGTTGTCTGGATCTCCGTTAAACCATTTTAAAAATTCTACTCTCATTCCTTTAGTTACAGATATAACCTTCTGTGCTTCAATGGATTCCCAGCCAGAAATGATCACCACTGAGATTTGGTTTAATCGCATTAAATTCCTCGTTGTTTTCGAAGACTGCTAGATAAAATGTTTTGACTCGAATTGCACGTTTTTAAATCGAAAAATTTTGGCATCAACCTCGTCCAGGTTTTCTTCGGCTCCTTTTTCAATATTATCCACCTTTGTTTGTAGCTTCTCCTGCATTTCTTTTTGAGCTTCCATCTGAAGTTGGAGGTCGACAATTGGCGGTTCAATGGATTCAAGGGACTTTAACTTCAACATCCTGGCATCAATCTAGTCCAGTTTTTCTATGGCTCGGTTTAGCAACGACAGTGCTTTCTTTTCAATACTATCCACCTTGGTTTGAAACTTCTCCTGGAAGTGTTTTTGAGCACTCATCCAATGTTGGAGGTCGACAATCTTGGCATTAGTGTTGTTCAGCTAGTGTTCGGCTTGTTCAAACAACATCCAGTGCTCCTTTTTCAAAAAGATCCACCTTAGCTTGGAGATTCTTCAGAATTTCTTGTTGAGCACCCATCTGAAGTTGGTGGTTGGCAATTGCCGATTCTATAATTTTAAGGGTCTTCAGCTGATTCTGAATCTTGTGATTGTGCTGGATGAATGGTAATTAAGCAGCTAGCCAGAATGATCCACATTGTTTTGGGGCATCCGTTAGAATACAAACGGATTCTGTGTTGTTCTGGGATTTAACTATACTGTACAGGTTGCACACGACAAAAGCGTATACAAAATAAGATGACAGCTTCAACATTTCGAGAGCTTGGAACCACACAAAGCGAAGGTTATCAATAGACTGATTTCAAGTGCGTGGAAATGAAGAATGAATGAACTAACAAAAATACTAAGTATAGTTACAGGCTAACAGGTACATTCCCGTAGTACAAATTCCAATAATAATCTCCTTTTTTAATAAACTTAATATATTTAATACGCATGTTTAGTATTACATGTTTGGATCAAAGGCTCCATTTACATTGTGCAAATAAAATGATCCGCATCAATGCTGGAGTAAATGTGTCCCTCGGAAATCATAAAGTCCAAAATGTTGCTAAAAAACAAACAAAAGCAGATGTTAAAATTTCTCAACCAGAGTTTTGAATTTTAGTAATAAAAACGTAAAATTCAAATTGGTGAAAAATATAACTTACGTCAACTCAGAATCGCTAATATGAGAGAACTTCGCTTTTAGCTCCTTACGGGAAATACCCTCCTCGGAAACATTGCTCTTAATGGCCTGGAAAACGGCCTGCTGCTTGGGATCCAGCCCACTAACAATAGCCGTGCTCTGGGAGGCGGTGAAATCGGATATGGAGCCACCTCCCGAAGAAGCTCCAGCGCCAGATCCACCTTTGCTCTGGTAATCCTCGGCCCTGTAGCGGGCATTTAGAACTTCAAGAAGATGGGTGCACACCTCATTGGGATCCAGAATGGGCAGGAGTTTAAAGACCATCAGGGTTTTCTGGCCCGCTTGTGAACGCGTAGTGCCATAGACCTTTACATAGTTATTGACCATCACTTCGGGCGCCTTCAGGGCGTCGCCCTCCTCCAGCCAGTAGTGCGCATCGATCCTACCACTGTGATCCTCCAGGGTGTAGGTAATCTTTGTCGAGGAAGTCTCGATGTTTCGCACAATGCCCACCACACAGGCCATGGCATATTGCATGCCGAACAGCTCAATGTTTCCCTCTGGAGCATCCACAATTTGCTTTACCACCAATGGTACTATTCCCTACATTTTTAAGTACACAAAGACATATAGAATTAAAAGGGTATTAACTATATTTCTGCTAACTCACCTCTCCCTTTTGATTGCTGGCGGCTCCAGTGGGCGCAGTTTGTGTGGCATTGAAATCTCCAACTTAAAACGAGTTTAAGGTATTGACTATATTATTTTCGTAAAAATTTAACTTCTACTTACATGAATCATTCATTTTGGTGGCTTTTTAGGATTTGCAATTAATATTTTTAAAACTTATTTTACAAGATGCTGCCTATAATCAACAAAACGCGCGAATTTAGAGCTGCGTATGACCGTTTGTGGAAAGCGTAAAAATACTGTGTTTCTGGTATTTACTGAAAGCAAGTATTTTTTTCAATTTATAAAATGTAATAAATCTAGAGTAAATATTTTAATTTTTAGGTTCGAGATTCTTTATTTCTTTAAATTTATTGAATAAAATATATAGATGGCAGTAGACTTGTGGACTTTAAGTCCCTTACAACCTTATTAATTCTGAGTATGGCTAACACAGTTTTTATCTTGGTATTTATAATTTTATGAAATTCTCACTATCGGTCTCTCTTCTTTTTTGGTTTAGTTTCAGCGCTAGCTGAAGGACAAATATCCTTGTTTAAGCATTCCCCACATTTTGGATTTACTGGAGTACAAATAGTTTGTCCGAATCCCACGAATAGATGATTAACCTCCGACCAGAGACTAAATGGCAGCCACTTTTCCAATGCGCTGCGGGTTTGTTCCGGTTCCTTCGTAGCCTTTGGTAGCCAACCCAATCTATTCGACAAGCGATGCACATGGACATCTACTCCAATCCCGGTGATCTTATTCCAGGCCACCGCCATACATATATGAGCCATTTTCGGACCAACTCCAGGTAGAGCTACAAGTTCCTTGGGATTGTCCGGAATATCCGAATCATATTTTTCCATTAGTATCTCAACTGTTTGCTTGAGGTATTTGGCTTTGTTCTGAAATGGATTGGCAGTAGAAGATTTTGTATAATATTTTTTAAAATCTATTAGTTTTAACCTTATAGAAGGATACGGGGTGCAGTAAGCTCTCCAGTTCAGTCACTGGCATTTCCTTAATTTTAAGTGGAGTTAGAGTTTGGTCCTTAAGACGATTCATGGCTTCATAAGTTGTCTGATCCTTGGTTTGACTGGACAACATTAGGGCTACTAAGTTTTGAAATCTTTGGGTCTGAAAATAAGACATTATATAAATTAATGAATGAATATGTATGTTTCCTATCAAAAATACCTTTGCATCTGCTTTGGGATCCGCACAGCGATGGCATCCCATGGTATCCACAGGAGCAGACCTAGAGATTCTCATGAGGCGTATGTTTTCTAAGTGATTATACCATAAAGGATGTGGTGCTTCGACTTCCTCGTATAAATGTTCATGTACTGTGGGATCTAGTTCTATTTTAATAGGTTTTAAGCCCCCTTGATTTTCTAGAGTATTTAGTTCCTGTTTTATTTCTGGTTCCAATTCTTTTTTGATATTCTCAATCCTTATGGGAGAAGCTGCAGCTTCTGGAACCACTTTGCATTTAAGCACAGTAACCGATCCAATTTCTATTTTGGTCACCATCGGATCTTCTTTTTTATTCTTTTTGGGTGGAACACGACTTGGAGATTGGAGTTCCATTTTACTGTTAATTTTTTGAAGGGATTTCCCATTTATGTGACGCTGCTTGCGGGTTTGAATAGGGGAGAAATATATTGAGCTAGTTCCTGATGCAGGAGAAGATACTCCCACTAGATCTTCAATGTCCTGAAGGATTAGGAAATTGCGTCTTTAACTTGGCCGAAAGCTTAAGATTATTTTCCACTCACCCTTACATTATCCGCCCGATTTTGTCGGCTTATTATCTCGGTTGGCTTTATCACTTCTCCCCTTTTAGCCAGCTTGTTGGCCAATGTTAATTTCTTCACATTTTTGGCCATATTCAACATAAATTCTGAGCTCCTGGCCTTCATGTGTTTGTTTACTTTTTGAACCTATCGATTTCCACATGAAAACTAACGAAACGGTCATACTTTAATACTGGCGCGGGAAAATTTGAAATTGATTTGAAATCATTTTTAAGAACTTTTCAAAATGTTTAATGAGTTTTTTTTTTTTAAGAATACAATTTAATATATATATTACATTCCTTATAACTAATAAAATATAGCAATCACTAGTATTAATATTTAAGTTTCACAAAGTCATTAAGTTTCTTCGATGAATTTGATTGTAAATATTTTCGTCACTTATTCCGACAGCAATTTACTCTCCTGGGCCTGTAAAATATAAAATAAATTATCAAAAAACACAACACACACACGAGTTTAACTCACCTGATGTGCCATTTTCAGGAGGTGCTCGAAACTGGAGCGCCCTGTCTGCAGGACCATTCCGTAAAAGATTTTGCTCCATGATTGGGTCAAAAGTTCATAGGGTGAACCGAATTCAACCAGATTGCCGGCATCCAATACCATGACCTTATCCGAATCAATGATCGTGTTTAACCTATGGGCTATGGTAAGTACGGTGCAATCCCTGAACTTCTTCCGGATGGTGGACTGTATAAGGGCGTCCGTTTGAGGATCTACATTGGCCGTGGCCTCATCCATTACAAGGATGCGATTCTCCCGAAGTATTGCCCTGGCCAAACAGACCAACTGCCTTTGACCCACACTGTAGTTTGCTCCACCTTCTGCGATCATACTTTCAAGACCCTTCGGTAACTCGGATACCTCCTCTTTGAGATGAACCTGATAAAGCAAAAATAATTAAATTATAAATATTAATAAATTTATGATTATCCCACCTCTTCCAGAGCCTCCCATAGCTTATCATCAGTATACTGCTCGAACGGATCCAAATTATAGCGCATTGTGCCCGAAAATAGCACTGGCTCCTGGGGTATTATGGAGATTTTGCTGCGCAGATCGTGTAGTCCCATTTCGCCTATATCCCTGTTATCTATGACCATGGATCCATCGTTATATGAAAGTCTGAAGAGGGCATTTATAAGGGATGATTTTCCAGCGCCAGTTCTGCCCACAATGCCAATCTTCTCGCGTGGCTGGATAACGAAATCCAGTGACTTCAACACATTATCCGTTTTCGGATCAGGGTTGTATCGCAGACTCAGATCTTCCGCTATTATCTGACCCTCTCGTGGCCAATTTTTGGGTGGCTTCTTATCCGCCGGAGATTCGAATTCTCCTTCTGATTCCAGGCTTCTGTATTCCAGTACTCGTTCTACAGATGTCATGGAATTCTCCAGTTCAGCAGATTGTCGCATGCCCCACTGTACAGTTCCAGTCATGGACATAGCTTGGGTGATAGCCAAGCCGATCTGCCCAGGATTATCAAGCGGCGGATTAAAGTAGCTCATCAGGGTTACCGATATAACATAGGCCACACAAAACAGATCGAGATAGTAACCAAAAGCTCGATTTGTCGAGAGGAAAGTATAGTATCCAGAGCTGTGGAGATCCTGGTAGTTATCATATTCTTTGGTCAGCAATTCCTGGGCACCCATTGCTCGGATGGTGGGAAGACCATTTAAAGTGGCACTGAAATGCGAATACATTGGTGACCTGGCGACGGCTTCCAATCTTTTCACGTCCCTCGAAGTGCTCAGATAGAACTTACGAAGGAAATGAAAAGCCAGGAACATGGTCATGGTATTAACCAAATACCAGGGATTTGTAATGCACAAAACCCCAATAATTCCACTGATCGTTAGGAATATTTGAATGCAATCCAGCATCACGGCAGGCAGGATTTCATCCACTTGCCCCAGATCCATAGCGAATCTATTAAGGATTCTCCCCGAGGGATTGGCATGGAAGAAGTATAGAGCAGTGCGGGAAACACCTTGGAACATGGTATTATGCAACTGGGTGGATGAGTGCATTGCCATGCTGAAGAAGAGTAATGTTCGGAGCAGGGCGAAGATCACTAGGGCTATATTGATTCCACTAAAGATGTAAATGTCCATCGACGATGAAGACCCCGTGTTTTTTACCCTGTAAGTCAAAGGTTCAAGCCGCTAAAACTTTTTAACTAACTATGTTTTTTAACTTACCAGTAGGACAGGAAGTAATCTCCTCCAGAAGCCAGAATTTGAGTGCCCAGGCAGAAGAATGCAACGAGGATAACCATAAACCACCCAGAACCGGCAGAAAAATATTTTCCATACATTCCCAATCCGATTTGACCTTTGGAACGTGTCTCCTGAATGGGCTGTCTTTCATCTACCACTTCCATTACAGAATCCGCACCAGAATCTGCTGAGGTGATGCTGGATCTACTTAACCGACTGCTTTGGCGGGAGTAGTTCGATTTATCCACTTTGGCATCGCCACTTCCATTATCCTGCTCGTGATCCGACAGTTCCTTTTCCTCTTGAGTCTCCTTAGCCAAAAGCTTCGCAAAATCCTGACCACTTTTGAGCATTTCCTCATACGTACCAATAGCTGTTATCTTTCCCTTATCCATGATCACTATAAGATCGGCATGCTCCAGGAATTGCAGCTGATGGGTAACCAGGATCACCAGTTTATCCCTTAGATAGCCACGCATGCACTCCTCGAATAAATGACGTCCTACATGGGTATCCACAGCGCTCAAAGGGTCATCGAGGAGGTAGGTATCCGCTTGGCGATAAACCGCCCTGGCTAGACTAATCCTGGCTCTTTGGCCACCGGACAGGGAGGCTCCCCTTTCACCCACAAAAGTGCGGTCTCCCTGTAGCAGTTCGAAATCTCTTTCCAGGGCGCATTTCTTTACGACATTGCGATATCGATGCTTATCCATGGGTAAACCAAAGAGAATATTATCTCTAACGGAGGCATTGAACAGCCAGGGTTCTTGGGAAGCATAGGAGATTTTACCCTGGACTTTAAGCTTTCCAGACTCACCAGGAAGTTCTCCCAAGATGGCTTGTATCAGACTGGACTTACCCGATCCAACGGGTCCAATGACGGCCACCAATTGCGGAGGCTTAAGACTGATATTTATATTATCCAAAACAGGATCCACATGCTCTTCATTCCAGCGGGCTCGAAAGGATTGCAGTTCCACTATAGGATTCTCCTTAAACAGTTGAATTTTTTGTCCAACTTCAGATTTTTGATTATCAGTTTCATTTCTCATCATAAAAGTTTTGATTCTCCTCAGGGTAACCATCAGTTCGGCGAACTGGGACATTCCACTTGGGAAGAATTTGCTCACAGTTCGTCGCAAGATATTGTAGAAAGCGGTAACGGAGAAAGCCCTTTCTGCAGTCAATTCTCCACCCATGAGGACAAATCCTAGAAGACTTACGAATATCGCAATTCTTCCCAAAGTAATCTCAAAGGACAGAAGAGTTCCTCGAATGTAGTTCACCTTCCGAATGGAACTCATTTCGCTGCGTCGCAATCTCTCGATCATCTTGGCAAATGGCTTCTCCCAGGTGTACATTTTGATCACCTGGATTCCCGATATAATCTCATTCATCATCCTAACTCTCTGATCAGTTCTCAGGGCTGTTTGCAGTCTCAGCTTCGAGGTGAGTCGGCTCATGAATGTCTGCAGTGGCAGATATAGAATTAAGATTCCGATTCCATAAAGCGAAGCTATTCCTATTTGCTGGTATAGAAAATACAAGGATATGAGCAACTCCAGTGGTCCCAGCCACAGGAAGTGAAAGTGTATCAAGGCCCGATCGAAGCGACCCAGATCGTTGGATATAAGGTTAACCACCTGACCTGTGGTTGTATCTCCCAAGGCAGTGCGACTCAAACGTAGGGCTTTTCGATAAATAGCCGTACTCACTGCCACTCTCATTTTCATGGCCAAATGCTAAAAATATCGAAAATATTATTAAATAAACTAATACTTCAACTAAAAACTCACCATCATACCCATCATGAAGGGATGGAACATTAGAACCGAAAAAAGAGTAGTCAGAATCAGTGTCAGTCCATAAATTTGAGCCCAGAGACCATCTCCATTTCCATGGCTTGTAAATTCCGATATTAGAGCTCCCAGGATAAGTGGCAAAGTGGCTCTGTTAGATAGAATTTTTAGAAATAAAATAAAGATTTATATAATATATATAGATATAGTTCCTCACTCACCTCGTTCCCAACTCCAGAAATCCGCAAATGATACCCGATACGAACAGTTGCCATCCGAATACCTTTACTATGACCTTTAGGATGCTTGGTTCCTTTTTGGGTTTATCCTTACAGGACTTGACTTCCGCCTGCCAAGTCTCAAAGAATTTATTACCCAGCGTATCCGCTTTGTGACCCTTTAAGGTCGTATAAAGATCAGTCGGCTCCAGGGTCTTTTTTCTACCCTTAAAAAGAATGGGCAACGCGAAGCTGTGGTAGGGAATATAAATTATAGAGTAAATATTATGATATTTGTTAGTTTAACTCTGAGCTTTCTCAACTCAATGTCATTACAGTTTATACAAACATGATAACCAGAAGTGATAGACGTGATCTTTTCAGCTTCTGTTATCTAATCATAACGGTCTCTTTTTTACATGATAGAGTGTTCATCTTTTTAATTTCAATTTAGTTTAGTTTAGTAAAGAAACATACCAGAACATAAGGGTGGAGAAAATCCCCGCAGACTGGCGAGGATTCGTTGGCAGTTTGTCAGCTTGCATGTTTTATGTTATTTTTAACATTAAAACAAAAATATATTTTTATTTTGATCATTTATTGAATTAAATTCACTTTATTGGGATATCGATTGGTTAATTTTCACTTGATTATAGCCAAAAACTTTCCATTAGATAATAAAAAGAGTTGGAGATAAACCCAACCGTTGCGTTTCGCTTTTCAACTTGTTCTGGTCCAAATTTAAATGCCTCCAACCGAGTGATAAAAATCGCGGAACTTTTCTCACCTGAATGACGAAGCTTATCTCGGAGATTATCTTACTAGTTTATGTTGCTAACAAGGGGAAAATCTTTTATTTTTTATTTTAAGGTTTTGCTATTCATTTTATTAGGTATTTTTTCCAACGCATATTACAAACATACTGTCCTTAATCCTTAAAATTAACATAGTTCAGAGGGCATTGGAAAATCACTTTGATTTCATAAGAATTTGTAATAATTTTATTACGAAAGATAAGCAGCAAATAAAGATAGTACTACTGCATACCTATAAATAGGTTTTTATTTTTATCAAGGTTTCCTTTAGAAGAAGCAGATATCCCATGTTAATTCCAGTATTAAGAGATTTACAGATTCGTGTTGGCCATATAAATACTTTTCTCCATGTACTCTCTGATGGTATAGCTATCGTCTTATACACCCCCAGATTAGAATTACAAATGAATATCTTAAACATGCCTTGTAAACTGTTAATTCGTTCGTGACATCTCAACATTGTTGAAATTTGGATGCTTAGTCTGTTAAGTAGATTGTAAAATGGTTTTTAGTTTCCTTAAAGTAAGACTAATCTCCTCAAAACAACTTGGTCTGAAACACCAAATAAGGAGAGGCTATACCTAATCAAAGATTTTGGATATATTTTAAGATTTGCATATATATAATATTATTGTTATATAAATTTGTTATTTCGAGAATTCTTTTTTTCATTTGAAATATATACGTTCCCTTATTTTATTGGCATTTATCCACCAAAATGAATCTTAAATTTATATAATCATTTTGCAATATTCTTCATTCCTGTAATTTTCCATTACTTAAGTAACGCCATCTACATGTGAAATATGCTTTGGGCCTACTTCCATAGACTATCGCCATCTATATTTCGTTTTTCAAAACAGCGGCAAAATTTGAATTTCCATCAACTGAAATAATTTTTGTCTGTTTAACTTTCGTCCTTAAGAAAACAAATCAAAATGTTTTTCGTCCTCTTTAAATATCTATAAATTGAGCCATCCATCATCAGACACCACACACACACAACACACACACTGGAATGTAAGTCCGGGCAAATAAACATATTTATCTGTATGACAACTCGCTGAAGTGACCCTGTCCAACGGAAAGTAAAGTAAAGACAACTGTTCCCAAGCGGATCGAATCGGATTGAAGGAATTAATAAGCAGGAAAAAAGAATCGAAGAGATAAATACCCTTGAAGGATTTTTCTTGGTTTAATTTGTTATTAAGTGAGAGAATAATCTCGATGTTCATGTTAACAAAAATATGCAAATTTCAAACTATGTTGCATACTTTTGTGCAGTTAATTAGGTGTTTTCATATGTGAAATACAAATATTTTTATATACTGTAAATACCTCTGGAACATAAACCAAAGTTTTACATAGTTTGATGTTCCACTGAAGTATACAAATATTTTAAAATGTTCTTTGTGTATTTAAGATTAAGATTAATAGAACAAAATAAGACTGAAATTTAAAAAATCAATAAAAACCAATGTTTCCCTTTTGAAGGGTAAGCCCCGTAATTATACTTAGCTCTTGGCACCCAACGGACATTGACCGCTCCCTGAGTCAGTGCCGCTCCCCCACCTCACCTCTACCTCACCCCCTCATCCTCATCAGATTGCTCTTCCATGTTTTTCCCTTATCAGCGGACAAGAACGCAGCGTGAGTGCGCCTGTCACTTGGGGCAAACATATGTTTCATTACAAATTGACGACCGCAACGCTCTTATCAGCAACGGCTGCTGATACAAAACAACAATAAAGGGAGTAGATGGGGAGAAGGGGAAGAGGGGTGGGTCAGAAGGGCAAGTCAACCGCTGGACAACAAAAGACAACAAACGAAAATTAACGAAAACTAAATTTAAACACGTCTTGTTGCGGTCCACCCAGCGGAGATGTGTTTCATTAGCTGCTGCAGCTGCAACTCGCCCCCTCCTCTTTCGGCCTTCACTTGCCAGCTCTTTCTGCTGCTGTCCAGGTGCACTAAGAAAAATTACGATTATTAAATAATATGGTTTTTAGAAACTTAAATACGAAATATATCTTAACTGAGAATAACCTTTTAGGAGTTAAGAAGGTGTTGAATATCTTTTAATTACAAATTTAAGACTTAAGTTAGTTAGTATTTGCTACTAACTTAGTTTATAACAACATTCTCATCAAACTCTCCGAATATTAGTTGATTATTGTTATCAGTGTATTTCCTGCGGTTAGCAACGCGTTTGTGTGGGTGAAATTGGGGGGAAAAGGGGATACTGAAAGGGGCAAGCATGTGCTAAGACCTATTAAGGGGTTAAGGGTTGTCCAGTGGCAACCGCTGACTTTTTGCTCGCAGCGGGCGGCCACGGTAAATAAAGTTTACCAGCGGACCCCATGTGGATCTGTCAGGGCCTAATCCTCGACTGAAAAGCGGTAAAGGGTTGTGTATGACGGGAAACCGTTGGATATAATTGTTATTATCAAAAACAGATAATTAACAGGGTTCACTTTGATAGACAAAGGAAGTTGCTTAAAAAAAGGCAGTCCACTATATTATGTGACAAGGTTTTGGCTTAACTTAGGTATTTAAAGGGCTAAAAGAGTCAATTATACACACACCTATGAATACATACTTTGATTTATAAATAATTCTCAACACAAATAAAGGTATTTCTTACATATTTGATATAATTATATAACCAAAGGCTGTCTTTATGGCTCTCATTTGGTAGGCAACATATTCAATATATCCCTTTTTGCCTCCTTTAAGCACTTCAAAGTTGCCCTCGTGCCACAAAAGTTAAACATATATATATGTATACCTATCTATATATATATCGAAAAGGGTTGGAAAATATTAAATCCGAACGCCCCGATCCCCACCTTGGATTCCATTCCGTTCGATTCGCTGCGGTGTGAACGGGCAATGGCAAACAGGCAAATAAACAAACAATCGAGGGGCGGCGTCCTTTGGCTTTCGGCCAGGCTTTTGCCGAGGTGCGTATGCATATAGGCCGACTCCAAGGGGGGTTGCTTACCAACTGGCCACATCCACATCCACATACACTCACGTACATGGCCTGCCTTGCTGACCTGGCCCAGGAAACAATTAGCTCTAAATAAAATTTCAAAATAAGCAACTGTTTGCGCTTCTAAAGCCCCAACGCTTTTCTACCCATTTTCCATTTGGCCACCATTGCCAGCGAACACGCCACTCTAAGCGGAATGGGAACTCATATTAGATACCATGATATCACTTAATTACGGTATTTAAATGAGCAACAAATGATATGCTTTTGGGCTTTTAGACCAATATTAGAAAAAAATTAAAATAAGCCTCAAATGCACAGGCGAGTGAGTATCTCTGAATTTTCATGAAATTTATTTCATATTTCTATAGCTATCCGCATATAGTTTGTATGTTTTGGGCCGAAAAACGTGCGCGCCAAACTATGCAACACTTTGTGGGCCGTAATCATCTTTTTGGCCAACTTCATTGCCATGGCATTTCGAGGCAGTCATGTGCGAGTGTGTTTGAAATGTAATTGAAATTTAGTTGGCAAAACTAATTGGAATTGCTGCATTATGCAAGCGTCGATAAAGCCCCCAAAACGGAGAGGCCTCAAACTGGGCTGGAAATCAATAGAAAAAATGGGAATAACAATCGATTTGAATGGTTTATTCTAGATGGTGACTCGTACTTTAAAATCATAAAAAGGAAAAACATATTCTGTACTTTAAGTAAATGAATAACAAAAATTTACATTCTCTAAAATTTTTATAGAACAAACTAATGCCACAATTTTGGCCAACATAAACACGACTAAATTACCCAATTTTTGTTATTTATTGGGAAAAAATGATTCAAAATTGCTTTGATTGGAATTGCTAATTAAAATAATTTGCGTGCTCGTTCGACTAAACCCAAAACCCAAAAGTGAACGACGTAAATAATTTAATTAACCGAAATGACATGCAAAATGCTCAGGACAATGGCTCCAAAACGACAGCTATTAGAGGGGGTTGATTTGGGGTGGGAGACGAGGACTTGCGGTCACCGAAATGAAATTTTCAACTGCATTGTTGACCCAATTAGGAAACCGTTTTGGCCATCGCGTTTAGTTTTCCCCCAATTTCGAATTATGCATGCGATAGAGAGAGCGCCCAGGTTGCGGAAGTCAGACGCGGTATCGACCTTTAACTCCCAATAGAAAACCCGTTTTAATCTCTGGCTTATAAAAGATTTCAACAATTTTAAAGCCACGCCGAACTTTAATTAATGTCCCCTGGATGGGATGTTATAACCGCATTTTCACTCTTTTGATTTTCCATATTTATTTTGTTATTCACACAAACTTTATGTCAAGTAGAACAAAAGCCAAAAGTTTACCAAAATTCAAACGCAAAAAATTATGTGAGTTTCTACATAATAATAAAAGTTTCATCCGCGCTCAATTTAAGCCGCATTTCGGGCTTACCCTCTCTGGGCTGCCAAAAAGTTTAGCTGATTTACTGTGGGGATCTTTTTTTAAATATTTTTTATTTTCTGTGATGGCATTATTATAGCTTTTTTAGTGGTGGTGTCTCTTATTAAATTTTACATTTATTTTGGATGATAGGTAAAAGATGATATCTAATATTAGTCAAACCCAAATCTGTGTCAGCTAAGCCCTAAAATAAACCTTGTTTAGTATGCTTTTCACTTATGTTTGCCCCATTTTCCACCTATTTTTCCTGAAAACTATTCCCCCAAACTGCATGGGATATCTTAATTGCAGCTCATTCAGCTTTTCACCCACGGCCATGGTTAAAATCGCTCAGATATGGAAAAAAGTGCTCTGCAATTTTCCCTCAATTGACTGTTCATTGTTGTCCCTGCGATTCTGTTTTCGGTTTTTGTTTTCTGCTGCTGTCTTTGCTGTTTTGTTGG